TCCTCCTCCTCCTCCCCCCCCTCCTCCTGCTCCTCCTCCTCCTCTTCCTTCTCCTCCTCTTCCCCCCCCCCCCCCCCCCTCCCCCCCCCTCGTCTCCTCCGCGGAAGAAGGGCCCCGAAGCGGCCCCGAAGGCCTCCGAAGGGCCAGCGCGGGTCCGAAGGGCTCCGACGGGGCCCCGCTGGACTCCGAAGCGGGCCCGAGAGTCTCCGAAGGGCGCCGAGTGGCCCCGACGGGCCCCGAAGGGCGCGGAAGGGGCTTCGAGTGGCAGGCGCGCCGCTGGGGGGAAAAGTGAGCGGTTGGCGCGCCGCCAGGGTGGGAAAGGAGCGGTGGGCGCACCGCTGGGGAGGGGGGCGGTGGGCCAACCGCTAGCAAGTCCCCCCCCGCGCGCGCTCCTGCGTTGTCGCGTCGCAGAACGAAGCGCCTTCCCACGGGCGCTGGCGTGGGCCCACGCAGCGCGCGACTCCCAGACTCACCGCGTGGCTTTGACGAGGCTCTCCAAGACGCCCGAAAGGTTCTCCAGCGCCTCCTGCACTTTCCTCGTGTCCTTGGTGACATCCTCGATCGTGAACGTCAGCGGGCTGGGATCCACCGCCTTGATAGCCTCCTCGGCCGTGGCCGAGAACTGGCGCAAGACGGCAAGGCCCTTCTCGGCGGCCTGCTTGACGGGCTCGGGGGCATCCTTCACCAGCCTGCGCCCCAGGGTCGTCTCCAGCTGCAGCAACAGGGGGGGAACCTTCGCGAGCACCTCCGCCGCGTCTGTGTGCGTCTGGCGCTTCGCCTTCTTCGCCTGGGCCTGCTCAGCCTCGTCGCACTTCAGCTTGTCCCTCTTGGCCTGGGCCTGCTCAGCCTGCTCCTTCCTGCGCCTGTCGCCCTTGTCGCGCTTGTCGCGCCTGCGCCTGTCCTTCTTATTCTGATTCTTCTTCTTCTTCTTCTTCTTCTCGCTGGACGAAGAAGCGGAGGAGGAGGAGGAGCCCTTGCGCTCGTCGGGGTCGGTCTCCGCCTGCCCCTCCCCCCCCGCTGCGCCGCTGCCCGCTGCGCCGCTCGAGCGGCCTGGTTGCTGAGGGCGCTTCTTCCGCGAAACCGCCTGGAGCAGCCGCTCCCTCGCCAGCTCCTCCGTCGCCGTCTCGGAGGCGCCGTGGATCTGCACCTGGTAGCCGACGTTCCAGATCGGGTGGGACTCACGGGGCGCCTCCTGCACCATCTTCTGGATCTGTTCCTCGGGCGTGCCCTTGGACCGCCAACGACACAGGCAAGAAATCGCCCTCGACCTTGTTGGTCTTCCTGTGGGCCCAGGCTTCATGACCTGCTCCTCGACAGCCTCCTTGAGGTTGTCTTTGCCGGAACCCGCCGTCTGGAAGAAGGCCGCCTGCTGGTCGGACGTGAGCTCCTTGAACTCCTCGATCGGCCAGTGGCCGAACACCCGCGCAAGGGACGTGCTCTTGGAGTTGCAGCCGGGGCAGCAGAACGTGGGCGGACTCTTTCCCACGACGCGAACCCCCTTGGCCGCGGGGCCCAGGTACCTGCGGCAGAACTTGCACGACGGCTGCGAGCGTGGGGGGCGAGCTGCTTGCCGCCCCAGCCGAGGGGGGCCGCAGGCGGTCCGTGCTGCCCCGGGGGCGGCTCGGCGACCTCGTCCGCGGGCTGCTCTGGGAGAACTTCCACCTCTGCGGCCTCTGCGGGCTCCGCGGGCACTGGGGCCAGCTGCTCCTCTGCAGGCCCCTCGGGCTCCTCTGGGGCAACTCCCGCGACGGGCTGGCCGCGAGCGTCGAGGCTGCGCTGAGGAGCGGAGGCGCCCCAGCCGACGGGCTACGCCCAGTGGCCGCCGCTCGTGCCTGTCTTGGGCGCCTGGCTCCTGCGGCGGCTCTCGGCGGCGGCGGGCGCCGCTGGCAGAGCCTCGGGCGGGGGCGCCGCGCCTTCGAAGAAACGGCGCGGGGAGGTCTGGGCCGCCATTGCAACTCACTGGGGAAGCGCAGAAAGGGCGTCGGGCCGCGCGCGCGGCCAGGTGGGGCCTCGAGCAACATCGGCCGCGCACGGAAACGCAAAACACGGAAACAGCCAAATCGGCGCCAACAGGAACTAACGGAAACTAATACGAAATAACTTCTATTTCCCTTTAGTTTCCGTTCGTTTCTGCTAGTTCTGTGAAACATAACAGAAAATAGCGGAAACGAGCATGAAATAACCGTTATTGTTGTTGCTAGTTTCCGTTAATTTCAGATCGGGTGTTTTTGGATTGAACGTTCTTCGTTGACCATATTCCTCCTCCTTCTCCCCCTTCCTCATCCTCCTCCGAGCGGCGGGCCAACCGCTGGGCGATGGGGCGGGAGCGGTAGAGGAACCGCTTGCAGGAGCGGTGGGCCAACCGCTGGACGACAGGAGGAGCGGCAGGCACGCCGCTGAAAGTAGAAGCGTCTGCACAACCGCTGGGATCGAGGTCGCTCTTCCAGTTTTTTTCCCAGCTGGGAAGCCTGCGCCGAGACTGCTGTCAGAGGCCGCTGCCGCGGGGGCGCGCGGCGAGGAAGCCCATGACGTCCGCGGCCGCTGCCTCGAACACATCCGCCGGTTCGTTGTGCGAGCCCGCTGCGGCCTCGCTCAGGCGCGCCGCATTCCTCGCATTGCGACCGCATCGCGAGGCGTTCTCTACAAGGTCGTGGAGCACCCGCGGGATCGTGCACTGGGTCGCAATGACGGCGTTGCCGCGGCGCGGTGGCGTAGACAGCGTCATCTGCATGATCATCCGCTGGATCTCCTGGCGGGACCCTGTCGGCTCCTCGCTGCCCGTTGCTGGCGCGCTGCTTGGTCTGCCGCCACTGCTCGTCTTGGCCTTTTTGGCCCAGTGCATCTCCACGACTTCGCAGCCCTCGACCAAGCTCTCGAAGCGCGCCCTCGCCGCTTCATCGCCCGTACCCTTCCTGGACTCCGAGTGCACGCCCGAGCGGAGCAAGTGCTGGACGACCTGCTCCTTCGCTTCCTCAGGCGTGCTGCCCCGCGGCTTCCAATTCTTGAAATTGCCCTCGTGGCGTTCGTGCGGAATGGGGCAGGCCTCGATCTGGTAATAAGTCCAACCCGCCTGGTCGGAGCTCGACATGGCTGAGCCCCGTTGCGCGCCGCTGGCTTGACCCGAAACCGCGTCGGTCCAAGTCCGCGGGGGCGCCGCAGGGCAAGAGAGCAGAGGTGGAGGGGGAGTCAGTGGGAGAGGATACCACACAAGAAGGCGATACAATATGTCAGAAGGTGGTGTAGCATATCATAAGGTGATATTATATTCACATACATGCCGTATAATAATATATCAAAGTGTATATATATATATATATATATATATATATATACTGGTGCATGTATACATACGATGACGATATATTTGGTGCAAAGCATCAGAAGGTGATCTGATATATCGCCGCCTTGCCCGCCTCGCCCCCCCCCCCCTCCCCCCCCCCCCCCCCCCCCCCCGCGCCCCGCCCCGCCCTCCCTATCCGCCCCCTCCAGGGGGCGCCGTATTCGGGGTAAAATGGTTTTAACTTATTTCAACTAAATTATTGTTTTGTGTCCTTGGGGCCGCGGCGGGGGCCTCCTTTTGGGCCCTCTAGGGGCCTCGGAGGAACGGCGGACCGACCGCTGGAGGGAGAAGCGGCGAGCCAACCGCTGGGGGGGGGAGGGAGCGGCGGGCAAACCGATGGACGGAGAAGCGGCGGGGCGACCGCTGGGGGAGAGGCAGCCCTTTCCGAGGCGCAGACCCGCAAGCAAGTCCGCCCTGCGCGCCCAGCCGCGCAAGCGAACGGGCAAGCTGGGCGTGGCTCAGTGCGGGTTGGCCTTGGACCCCTTCGCCGAGCCTTTGCTCTGGCTGCTGCTGGAGCCGCCATCGCCCTTGTGCTTGTGGTTCTGCGCGGACTTCGCCCCCCCTGGCGCCGGTTCGAGCAGGCCCTTCTTTGCGAGTTCGCGGTGCACCTCCCTCTTGCTGCCGGCCCGCTTGGCGCGCCGCACTTGCCCGCCTTCTTCGCCGAGGCGCAGAGGCTGGCCCCGCCGCGCCTTGATGCCCACCGCGGGCTCGGGCCCGCGCTCCTGCCAGGGCACGCCGCCCGCCTCCGCGAGCGCCTGCTCCGCTCGTGAGCTGGCCAGCTCCTGCTCCGACAAGTCGGTGGACCTGCCGATCGTCGCGGGCCTGGCCGCCCAGGGGCTCGGGGCGGCTGGGGGGGCCAGGCGTGCAGCAGGCAAATTCTGCAGGTTGTCGTCGCTTGGCTCCGTGCGGGCGTCGCCCTCGGAGTGGTGTTCCTCGCGGCTCCAGGTGGCTTCGGCCCCCTGCCCAGCTGCCGGCCGCGCGGGCGGGGCCTGCTCGCCAAGCGACCTGAGCGGCAGCGTTTGCCGCATCTCTTCGCCCAGCTGCGCCAGGAGGGCCTCGCGCTGGCCCGTGGGCGGCATGGCCAACGCGAGACCGACGGGGGGGGGCGCGCTGGGCGAACTTGGGCCCCGCGGGCTGCGAACAGCAGCGGGTGCGCCCCTTGTTCCCCTCACGTTCCTACGGCGACGACGACGACGACGACGACCACGACGACCGCGACAAAAACGACAACGACGGCGACGGCGACGACGACGACGGCGACGACGACGATAACGACGACCACAACGACGGCGACGGCGACGGCGACGACGACCACCACCACTACGACCACGACGTAGCTGCGGCGCGCACGCGCGCATGTAAGGATTTGCATGTTGCTTCGCGCGCGCGCTTCTGTGAGGATGTTCTGGCTGCAGCGGCGGGGTGACCGCTGGGAATAGCGGTCGGGGGTCCGCTGGGAGAAGCGGTGGGATGACCGCTGGGAGCAGCGGTCGGGGGTCCGCTGGGAGAAGCGGTGGGGAGACCGCTGAGAGCAGAGGACGAAGCGGTAGCGGGGCCGCTGGTCGGATTTTCAAGGCGGCCCCCTTCGAGCGCGCTCCCAGTGGCGCCCGCCGACCCGACCCCGTGGCCAGACGCTCCCCGCGCCAGCTCCGCGGCACTCTCACTCCAGAAACTTCGGCTGGATGGGCGCCTTGAACTTCCTGCACTGGTCGCGGCACCACGCCTAGGAAAGAGGCACGTCCGCAACACGCGAACGCATGCGCGGCACTCGCACTACGCTGGGCGGGGCGGGGTGCGGGGGGTGGGGCCTTGGAGCCGCGAGCGCCGCGCATTCGCGTCGCAAATCTGCTGGGCTCGCCTTGGCGGCCTTTTCGGCGCTCTTCTTGCTCTTCCCCTTGTAGCTGAACTGGGCGCTGGGCGTCTCGGAGCAGCGCCCCAAGAAGTGCTCGCGACTCTTCTCGTCGCAGTAGGACACCGAGACGGCCTTCGACCCCGCCTTGGCCTTTGCTTTGCCCTTTGCTTTGCCGCTCCCTGTGGCTTTCTCCTTCGCCTTGGCCGCCGAGGTGTCCTCGCGCCTGCGCTCGGCCTTCCCTTTGGCCTTCCGTCTCGGGCCCCGGGGGCGCTGGGGGCGCAAGGGGCGCCACGTGCGGCTTTAGCTTCGGCTGGAAAATATTCGGGCCGACGCCCCCCTCACCGCGGGAGTTCTGCAAGGCGCTGCGGATCTCGTTGCCCGCCGCCCGAACGATCTGCTCCGAGCGGGACATGTCTGACGTCTCCGGCACCGCGCGGCTGCCCCCGCTGTGCACGCGCATCTTCGCGAGAAGCTTCAGCCCCCTGAAGATGCACGGCGGGGCGGGGAACTTGATGTCCCCAACGCCGTCTGGGCACGCAGCCTTGAAGAGGTCGGGGCACTGGGCCTTCGGCGCCTCGGGGCTGATCGGCAACATATCCGTCCGCACTGGAGGTTCCGGCAGGCCCTTCGCAAAGCGCCTGTAAGCCGCCTTCAGGGGCTTGATGCTGTTCGCGCGCACCGCAGGAGCCATCTTCAGAATCTCATCGACGCCCTCCGTCGCACACAGCACGGCCAAGCCCAGAACGCGCATAGTTCCCTCCGAGAACTTGCGGAGGCCGAGCAAACCGCACAGACGGAACACGTCCTCCGCATTCGCTGTCTTGGCCAGCTGCCCCCGCATCGCTGTCGGCGCGAGGAAAACGCCAGCCTCGTAGTCTTGGTCTGCTCCGTTGCGAGACTGCTCGGGGAGGGCGGTCGATGCCGCGAGCTCGGCGACCGTCTCTAGCAACTCTGCCTCGTCCTTCGGCAGGAACCCAGCTCCTCGGATCTTCTCCGCGAGCGCCGCGATGTGGCCCCGAGGGGCTGGTCCACTCGACTGGGGCAAGTTCTTGAGGTGGGCGCACTCTGCCCAGGAGACCTGGGCGAAAGCTCGCGTGCCCCGCAACGACGCCAGCAGGCTCCAACTGGCGGCCGCGCGGAGGGCAAACTGCGAGGTGGCCGCCATGGCTGCGCCGCGCAGCGCGGCCGCGCAGCGCTCGCTGAGCAGCGAAAAGGCTGCAAATGCGATCGCGCGCGCGTGCGCGGCCGAGCGCCAAAGCGGCGGGCCAACCGCTGCACTGGAGAAGCGGCGGGCGACCGCTGGAGGAGGAGGAAGGGAAGTAGGGGGAAGAGGAGGAGGAGGAGGAGGAGGAGGAGGAGGAGGAGGAGTCAAATAATGAGGACGGGGAGGAGGAGGAGGAGGAGAAGGAGGAGGAGGAGGAGAGGGAGGAGGGCGAGAAGGGGGGAGCGAAAAAAACATGCAACATCTCACGCCTATCTGATTTATTTAGCCTAACTGTTTGCGATTAGTTTGCTGGCTATTAGCTTGCCTATGTTGTTTAAACTAGTAGCGTATAGCGCAATGCAGCTGCCTGTAGCCATTACCAATAACTCATATACACACGCAAATAATATGTGCACGTGTTTCCGATCAGAGTGTCAGCTTGCGTGGCGGATCTATAACTTGTGTGCGCATTGCTTGTGTTAGAGGCTGCTGTAGGGGCTGCCCGTCTCTATAGATCAGCTACAAACGCGCTGTAGTGGCACTATAGCAAGAACAAGGGGGGCGACCACTGCAGTGATCAGGCGCCCCGCCGTGCGCCCCGCGGCCGACGGGCCGCCCGGCAGCGGCATGGGCCCCCGCGCCGCGCCCGGTCGACCGTCGCGCCCAGAAATGTCGCGGCGCCCAAACAAACCTCGCCCAGGGCCCTCGCGCTGCGGCGCTGAGGCCGCCCCGAACAGATCGCGGGGGCGGCTGAGGGCCCCCCCCGACTCGACTCCGCGGGCCGACCGACTCCTGGGCCCTTCCCGCGAAGATGCCCCCGGCGGTCCGCTCTTCTCGACCGACGCCGCGCGCTCGCGAGCGCGACCGCCCCGCCGGGCGTCGACCAGGCCCCGCAGGGCATTCCCGGAGCTGTGCCTCGTAAGAACCCCCCGGCTCCAGCCGTGAGACCCGGCGGCGAAGTTGCCGTTCTGCTTCAGCCAATGGCACCTCCAACGCCTCCGCCAACGCGCCAAGGGCGCTGAGGGCGGCGGCCCCGCCGCTGCTCCCCCTGCGGTTCTGACTGCGTACCGAATCAGGGAAGACCTCCGCGGGGTCGAGGGGCTCGCCGCCTCAGTCGTTGCCCGAGCCCGCGCTGCTGTAGGCAGCGGGGCTGGGCGGGGGAGCCCCTCCGCGCTGGGCCCCCGCCGCGGCGCGAGCGCCCCGCCCAGGCGATGCCGCCCCAATGGCGCGGCGCGGGCCCCGTTGCAGCCTGCGGCGATCCGAGCGGGCGAGGTTGCCTCGCCCCCGCCCGCTCGCGCTCTCCACCTCCGCGCCGCCCCATCGCTCCTCGCGCAACATCGGCCGCGTGTCCTGTGGTGCGTGGCGAGCCGTGGCCCGCGAACCCACCTCGCGGGCCCCCTGGGGGGCCTCGTAAAGGAGCCGGTTCAGCCAGTCGATCGGGTAGTGACCGTCGTCGAGAGGCGGTGGATGCCGCGTCGCCCCGCTAGAGGGCCCCTCGACCTGCACCCCGTCGATGCTAGTCTGGATGAGGAGCCTCGCACCCCGCCGCCCCCGCGGACGTCGAGCCCCACGCATTCCCCCGACAGAATGCACAAGTGGCTCGGCGGGGTCTGGTCAGCGCCTGCACCCCCCCCACCGCCTGGCCCGATGGGGCAGACCTTCGGGGGGAGCGGCTCACGCAGCCACCCGCGGTGCGCGACGCGGCCCTCGGCCGCCCCCCGCCCCCTCGAGCGCGAGCGATCCGCCCCTCGCGCCTCCGCGGACCGCGTCCGTCGAGGCTGCGGGCCCGACGTGGGCGCCGGGGGTTCGGGAGTGCGGGGGGTCCGGTGCCCCCCCCCAGATGGCGCAGGGCTGGGCGGCGCCGGCAAGATCGCCGCGCCGGCGGGCGCGCCGTCCAGTAGCGCGCCGCAGCTGGGCTAACGCCGCGCCGCTGCATGCGCCCCCTGCGCCCGCCGACGAGGCCCGGCTGGGCGGCGGTCTCGACCCGGACTGCTGCGCCCAATCGCAGATGTTCCGTGCGCGTCGGTGCGCCGCCGCGCGGAGGCAGGTGAGCAGGCTGCGCTCTCGGCCCGCCAGGGTCGAGCGGTACCTCTGCACGCAGTGGGCGCAGAGGTGCACTTGGGCGTGGGGGCCTGGCCCCAGCCGCTGCGCGTCTGATACCTCCGCGCCCTCCTCCAGGAGGGCGGTCGGCTCGGACATCCCGCGATCGCTGCGCCCCTCGGGTTTAAGCGGGCGCGCGCCGCTGAGCAGCTGCACCCCGACTTGATCGGCCAAGCGCGGGCGCCCCTCCGCCTCCGGCTCGCTCTCCGAATCGACGTCCAGCTTCCTGAGCCCGGCGGCGTCGGCATTGCAGCGGGGCCCCGGGCGGCCTCGACACAACCACGTAAGCACGGACCAAAGCAACCCGAAGCACAGCCTCTGTAGGAGGCAGACGACCTTCCTGAGGCCAACTCCCACGGCCCGGCCGGGCGCGGCCCCGCCACGCTCCGCCAAGTCCACGATCTGGGCACGGTCGACCATGGAGAACTGGCCCACGTGCATCGGGCGGGCCGCAAGCCTCGCAGCCAGCCGCTCGGCACGGCCGCTCGGCACAGGTGCGCCTTGCCGGTCTCCTCGAGGTCGGCGCGCCACTTACGGCCGGTGCACCCGTGGACCTGGCTGACCCGGATGTTCAGCCCATGGCGGTCGAACCGGCAGCGACCTGGCCGCGCTTCCGCAAGAGGACGTGGTTGCAAGCCCGATTGGTTCCTCGGCCGCGGACCCCCTTTTGTGAAGAACTCCGCCCCCGCCGCTCCCCCGACCCCCGGTCCGCGCCAGCGGACCATGATCGGCGGCGCCTCGGGGCCCGCCCCTCCGCGCCGACGGCAGACGCTGGCCAGCTGGCAGCAGGGCCACCGTAACCCGCTGACCATCCACAAGAATGGCGCGCTGCCATGTTCACGACGAAAGCAGACGCGCCCAGCACGAACGTCACCAGGCCCAAGGCGATGCACATGACCGCAGTCTCCCACCACTATCCGAACCTTTGGACCCCCAGTCGGTCGATCATCGAACTGGCCCAGCTGCCGTGGGAGCGGATGATCCGGTTTGGCCCGGCGTGCTGACCCGAAGCCCCATAGCCCACGCCGTGAACCCCCAGCCCCAATCCGACGCGTCCGCATCCGTGGGCGGCGGCGGCGGCGGGGGTGGGGGCGGGGCTGGCGTGGACACCAACCAGGCCGGCAGGCCAGGCAGCCATCCGACCCTACCTACGTAGCCCGCGCGGTCCGCTGGGGGGGCCGTCTCGCCCGAGCCCGTTCGGTTGGCCGGCGCCTGGGCCTACGCGCGGGGCATGGCCTCCTCGCCCGGCCGGCTGCCCGACGCGACCGCGGGCGGGCTGCCCGCTGGCTCGCCACTGCCCGTGGATTCGCCGCCAGACCCGCTCACGCGGTACGTTGTGGTGGTCATCGTAGCGGCGGTGACCGCAGCGGGCTTGGGCGATGGCCCTCCCCCTTGCCTCCCGCAGGCGCAGGCTCGACGGGCGGCGACCGCCCGTTGCCAAGCCACCCGCCGCCGACGGGATGCGAGCTCGGCCCGGGCTTGTGCGGTGGCGCGGGCGCAGGCGGACTTCGGTCCTCTGCGCGGCCAAAAGGTCACCACCCCATCGCCCCTTGGGCCGACAACGTCACACTTGCCGCCAAGATCATCGCATGCGCCCCGAGGAACGCCCACCGCCATGGCGCCGAAGCCCGCGCTGCCGCCCCGGAAGAGGGGCCCAGGGCAAGGAGGCCAGAGTCCCCGGACTACTGGCTGCTGCGGTTTGGGCCGCCCCGCGGCCCTCGGGACACCTGATCTTGAGCCACTTGGCTAGAGAGACCAAAATGCCAAAAGCACCCCCTTGCTGCACTTAACCTGCAGTCTACCTGTAATCCAGACTAAACAAAGCAGTTGAAGACCTCGCCCAGACCAGTAACGAAAAAACGACCTTTTGCCCAGACCCCTTGGGACCCACGAGGACCGCTCCAATCAGACCCGCCCCCCCGAATCAGACCAACCCTTTCGTATTGTGAAATACGGAACGCACGGGGGCGAAGGATGAGTCTGCATCGTCAACGCATCACCGATGCATCGGAGATGCATCATCGGCGTCGGCTACGCATAGGTGACGCATCGGCGACGCGAGCGTGGAGAAAGTAGGGCTCCACATCGGGCCGCATCGCCGATGCATCGGCGATGCGGCGCGATCCTCCGAACCCATATACTTCGACCCCATCAGGGAGGCTTGGAATTCGACTCGTCTCGTCCCACAATGGACCCCCAAAAACCTCTGGGATGTTCCGTCCCCCGACGCGACACGATCCCCCTCCGAGCTGCGAGCTGCGGGCATTTAGTTATCCAAAGAATTGTGGCCCGCTCCTTATATTTCTTCCTTTTCGTCTGATTACTTTATTACGGTTATTACTACTATTAGTATTGGCATTCATATGCTTAGCCGTAGTATTACGTTTAGAAGATATTATCGGTAGTATTCGAAATATTAGTAGTACGATTCAAAGTATTCCTAATAGTATCAGTATCATTAGTAGTATTAGTAGTAGTACTAGTCCTAGTACCAGTACTAGTACTAGTAGTAGTAGTAGTAGTAGTAGTAGTAGTAGTAGTACTAGTAGTAGCCGTAGTCGTAGTAGTAGAAGTAGTAGTAGCAGTAGTAGTAGTAGTAGTCGTCGTCGTCGTCGTCGTCGTCGTCGTCGTCGTCGTCGTCGTCGTCGTCGTCGTAGTAGCAGTAGTAGTAGTAGTCGTAGTAGTAGTAGTAATAGTAGTAGTAGTAGTAGTAGTAGTAGTAGTAGGAGGAGTACTAGTAATAGTAATAGTACTAGCACTAATAGTAGTAGTAGTAGTAGTAGTAGTAGTAGTAGTAGTAGCAGCAGCAGCAGTAGTAGTAGTAGTAGTAGTGGTGGTAGTGGTGGTGGTGGTGGTGGTAG